CCACTTGCAGCTCCCACCTGATAGTGGTGTGCGTCTATTATGGTACCCTCTTTGCTGTTTACGTTGTTCCGACTAAGGAGACCTCCAAGAACATAAACAAGGTTTTATCATTGCTGTACACAACAATTACTCCATTTTTTAACCCTATTATATACAGTCTGAGAAACCAGGATATCAGGACAGTGCTTGAGAAAACATTGCTCAAAAGACAGAAAAAATATTAAAGGGACACTATAGTCACCTGAACAACTTCAGCTTAATGAGGTTGTTCAGGTGAGAACTATAACTCCCTGCAGCCTTTCTTATGTAAACACTGTATTTTCTAAGAAAATACAGTGTTTACATTGAAAGCTAGGAACACCTCTATTTGCAGTCACTCAGAGTGAACCAGAGTGACTTCGGGGTTGATGGAGGCGTAATATGCCTCCATCCACTCAGATCTGCTGTCAGCAGAGCACAGGGCAGCACTGTGCACAGCATCCTGTGATTCAGTATCTCCTCCCTCTGCATGCAGACACTGAACTTTCCTCATAGAGATTCATTGATTCAATTCATCTCTATGAGGAGATGCTGATTGGCCAGGGTGTGTTTGAATCATGCTGGCTCTGCTCCTGATCTGCCTTTTTTTCTGCAACAATCTCTAAGTAGGTGGAACTTGTAAAAAGTAACATCCACATGTATGCCTGGATCCTAAGTTTCCCAGTAGAACATTGCTCAGAGTATTATACTGTCTCCACCAGCCAGTCTTCATCCCACAGTGCACCCTATTGCCATCTCTTCCTCAGGTAAATGACGCACATGCACCCAGCCAGCCATCTAATAGAAAGAAATACATGATTCATCAGGCCAGTCAACCTTCTTCCATTGCTCCATGGTCCAGTTCTGATGCTCACTTCTCTATTGAAGTCACTTTCTGTTGTAGTCAAGTGTCATCGTGGGCACTTTACATAGAAACATAGAATGTGACGGCAGATAAGAACTATTCAGCCCATCTAGTCTGCCCAATATTTTGAAATACTTTAAATTAGTCCCTGGCCTTATCTTAAGTCTAGGATAGCCTTATGGACAAATGGATAACGGTTCAGCGCTAAATAATCTAAAAGAAACTAAAATAAGTATAAAAGCAGCAACCTATAGAAATGAGGTCCCTCAACAAGCCTCACAAGGAATAAGATAGACAAAAATGGGTATATAGGTCGCGCTGAAGGGACATAGAAGTGATATGAATCGAATGAATAAGTATAGTAAAAAGTCCCAAGTTGTAGATAAACCTGTGTTTTTCTTGGGTAGATATAAAGTCCAAATGAATGTCTGAAGTTTCTTATGTTGGAGGTGTCTTGACTTGCTTATCGATATGTGGGTACATAAAAGAGATAAGAAGAACTCCAATAGTGTAGGATGTCGACAAATTTTCAGATATAAATCTGTGAGTAGGTAAAAAACTCACCTTAGCATGAGCAAAAAAACCTGCTCAAGTGTTCTTAGCGTTCAGTGGCGTCAATCCCCCACTGGTCGGATATGGGTAATGAAGTCCTGAGTAATTCCTCGATATGTGGAGAGATGGGAGACGTATATAGTGCTCACTGATTATTTAAAAGAACAAATAAAATGGTAAAATACTCACATGTATATGAGCAGGAACTACTGCACAATATAGTGGCGCAGGTGGTACAATCCCCACCTTGGATTCTTGGAAAGTAGCGTACTTCAAACCAAATCGGTGACCAGGTAATTCAAATAAAAAAAAGAATTAAAAGTATATATAGGCAAAAATAAAAGCCAATATTTCTTTATTAAAATATAATATATCAGTATATAAAACAAACTAATAACAGCCAAAACGCGTTTCACCACACAGGGCTTTATCAAATGGCATTAAAAAGAGAGAAAACTTTTTTTTCTCTCTCTTTTTAATGCCATTTGATAAAGCCCTGTGTGGTGAAACGCGTTTTGGCTGTTATTAGTTTGTTTTATATACTGATATATTATATTTTAATAAAGAAATATTGGCTTTTATTTTTGCCTATATATACTTTTAATTCTTTTTTTTATTTGAATTACCTGGTCACCGATTTGGATTGAAGTACGCTACTTTCCAAGAATCCAAGGTGGGGATTGTACCACCTGCGCCACTATATTGAGCAGTAGTTCCTGCTCATATACATGTGAGTATTTTACCATTTTATTTGTTCTTTTAAATAATTCAGTGAGCACTATATACGTCTCCCATCTCTCCACATATCGAGGAATTACTCAGGACTTCATTACCCATATCCGACCAGTGGGGGATTGACGCCACTGAACGCTAAGAACACTTGAGCAGGTTTTTTTGCTCGTGCTAAGGTGAGTTTTTTACCTACTAACAGATTTATATCTGAAAATTTGTTCACATCCTACACTATTGGAGTTCTTCTTATCTCTTTTATGTACCCACATATCGACAAGGAAGTCAAGACACCTCCAACATAAGAAACTTCAGACATTCATTTGGACTTTATATCTACCCAAGAAAAACATAGGTTTATCTACAACTTGGGACTTTTTACTATATTTATTCATTCGATTCATATCACTTCTCTGTCCCTTCAGCGCGACCTATATACCCATTTTTGTCTAGGATAGCCTTATGCCTATCCCACGCATGCTTAAACTCCCTCACTGTGTTAACCTCTACCACTTCAGCTTGAAGGCTATTCCATGCATCCAATACCCTCTCAGTAAAGTAATACTTCCTGAAATTATTTTTAAACCTTTGCCCTTCTAATTTAAGACTATGTCCTCTTGTTGTGGTAGTTCTCCTTTTAAATATAGTCTCCTCCTTTACTGTGTTGATTCCCTTTATGTATTTAAATGTTTCTATCAGATCCCCCCTGTCTTGTCTTTCCTCCAAACTATACATGTTAAGTTCCTTTAACCTTTCCTTGTAAGTTTTATCCTGCAATCCATGAACCAGTTTAGTAGCCCTTCTCTGAACCCTCTCTAAGGTATCAATATCCTTCTGAAGATACGGTCTCCAGTACTGTGTACAATACTCCAAGTGAGGTCTCCCCAGTGTTCTGTACAATGGCATGAGCACTTCCCTCTTTCTACTGCTAATACCTCTCCCTATACTATCCAAGCATTCTGCTAGCATTTCCTGCTGCTCTATTACATTGTCTGCCTACCTTTAAGTCATCTGAAATAATTACTCCTAAATCCCTTTCCACAGATGTTGAGGTTAGTAGGGTATCAAATATCCTTTACTCTGGCCTTGGGTTTTTATGTCCAAGATGCATAATCTTGCACTTCTCCACATAAAATGTCAGTTGCCACAGCTCTGACCATTTTTCTAATTTTTCTAAATCATTTGCCATTTGGCTTATCCCTTTTGGAACATCAACCCTGTTGCAAATTTTAGAATCATCAGCAAAAAGACATACCTTACCATCAAGACCTTCTGCAATATCACTAATAAAAATATTAAAGAGAATGGGTACAGATCCCTGAGGTACCCCACTGGTAACTAGACCTTGCTTCGAATATACTTCGTTGACTACAACCCTCTGACCCATTTGCATATGCAGCAAAATGTTTTAACACCTTTCTATCATGGCCCGCATTAGGTTTTTCAGCAATTTGAGATACAATAGTTTTTCTGTTTGATCAGGACCACACTGGCTAGCCTTTGCTTCCCACATGCATCAATAAGCCATGGTCACCCATGATGTCGATTTACCTGTTGTCCTTCCTTGCACCACTCTTTTGGTAGATATCATTGCATACCAGGAATACTCTCACTATTTGTCCCTTGTCAAAGTCAGTCAGATTTTTTGCTTGGCCATTTTTCGAGAGAGAGAGTGTGTGTATGTGTGTTTTATGTTACATGATCTACCAGATAACAGGCAAGTCATGATATCAAACTCAATAACTGAGGGGGATGACATCATCTCTATGCATTACTTCCCATAATTCACAGAGATTACATAATTTTGTGAATTCTACCATTTAGAATCCATTTATGCTTCTTCCCCTTTTCTCACCCGAACATCATCTGTCCCACTTGCCAGCTGCCCACAGGAAGAGGGTGCTTCTTTTTTTGCAAAACAGTCTTCAGATTGATGTCAGCTGTCGTGGAGGGAAGTAAGCACTCAGAGGAAATGTTCTGCTGCCAAAGGAACTTCATTAAAGTGGTTAAACACTCCATCCTTCATTACAGAATACATCAGCCTAACAGAGTACGTTAGCAAGGAATACAGGAGGGAGGGAGAGGACAGTTGTGTATTGTTTCACCTTGTACTGAAAAATAATCAATAGAGATCAGTGTATGTGTAATATGTTATGTGTCTTTTGAACTACGTGTGTATCTTTTTAAAGTGTCAAAATGTAAGTGGCCTTTTACCTTAAACATTTTGTCTTAAATATCTAATTTGAAGAAAAAGAGAAACAAGGGGAAAATGTGTATGTGTTTTAATATATTACATTCTAATAAACTTTCCAAATTTTTAAAATAGACATCTGTAAATCTAGAGTTTGCTGTATCTGTTAATCTAGAATTTGCAGTATCTGTAAATCTAGAGTTCGCTGTGTCTGTAAATCTAGAGTTTGCCGATTTGCATGCACATATTTTTATATTCATGATTTTTTACAAAATAGTGTCTGTAACGCTTTGTTAAACTCTTGGTTTCTCATGCTATATAAAATTGGGTTGATGAATGGTGTGAGCACGGTGTATAATAACGACCTTGATTTATTTTCAGTGAGTGACTTCACCCCTGCAGTAAATATATATATTGTGATCAAAGTCACATAATGAGTGCAAACAGTGGCCAGTTGAGTGCTACACGTGGAGAAGGCTTTTTTTCTGCCAGCATTTGTGGATATCTTCATAATGGTTACAAAAATCATGGTATATGATACAATGACAGTAAAAAATGGCATAAAGATAAGAAACAGAGAAATCATGAAATCTTGCCAAAGTACAATAGCTGTATTTGAGGAGGAAATCTTTAGGATTGGTGCAAAGTCGCAGAAGAAGTGGTCGATGATATTAGATCCACAGAATTCTAACTGGAACATGAAAAAAAATTCTCCCGGGATTAGAAGGAAGGATGCTCCCCAAGACCAGAATATCAGATGGAAACAAAGTCTACTGTCCATGATGGAGGCATAGTGCAGTGGTCTACAAATAGCTAGATAACGGTCAAAAGACATAGCCGAGATAATTAAAGATTGGGTGTATATTGAAATACAATGAAAATAGTACTGGAAAAAACAACCAGTTGATGTCATTGTGCTTCCATCTTTCAATATGATGTGGAGCAGGTTTGGTATGATGTTGGTCGTGAAGAGAAGGTCTACCAGTGCCAAATGTTTAAGGAACAGAAACATGGGAACCTGAAGACTGGTTCTTGTTGACACAATTATGATAATCAGGAGATTTCCAGCTAATATTACAATATATATAATTAGGAACAGACTGAAGAGTAGAATCTTGAAATGGTGGTAGGTCTGGAACCCAAGGATGAAGAATGTTGTAACTTCTGTTTCATTCTCACTACACATTGCAGAGGTGAACTGCAATTCATAGAAAATATTAAAATATGTTATGAAGGAATCAGACAATCAGATAGTGTTTTCTGTATACCAATCAGATAACAGTATCTAAATTGAAAATATGGAAAAATAGAAACACTAGATACTGCATTTCAAAGTCAACAACAGTTCATGTTTTTTATGATTTCTCTATAGTATGGACATTATTATAAATCTAATTTACAACATTTAAACATATTTTATTATAAAAGCCCAGGCCCCGACGTGTTAACGGCCATCTATTATAAATCCTTCGGCGACATACTTACACCCAGACTAAGCAAAGTCTTTAATGCAATGCTAAAAGGAGACCCACTACCCGCCGATATGACACAAGCCAACATCACCCTCTTACCCAAGCCAGGGAAATCCCACGACGAACCAGGCCACTACCGCCCCATTTCCCTCCTAAACATTGACCTAAAAATACTGACCAAAGTAACGACAACTAGACTTAACCCCTTCCTACCGAAACTCATTAACCCGGACCAGGTAGGCTTTATACCGCAAAGACAAGTACAAGACAACACCCGGAGAACCATTGACCTAATATGGTACGCCAACCAAAAACGCCTCCCAGCAATAATACTTTCCCTGGATGCCGAAAAGGCGTTTGATCGCCTCCTCTGGCCCTATCTTTATGCAGTACTCCACAAATTCAGATTCCCACCAGAATTCACTCAATTCCTGAAAGCCATGTATCATACGCCGACTGCCCAACTACTAATCCCCAACATCACCCCCCCCTCCTTCCCGATACTAAACGGCACCCGCCAAGGATGCCCCCTCTTATTCGCCATTTCCCTCGAACCCCTCCTAGATACCATACAGAACAACCCACAAATAGAAGGAATCAGGATAAGGGACGAAACATTCACCGTCGCTGCATATGCAGACGACATCCTCCTAACTCTAACTAACCCCTTCCCAACCCTAATTGCCCTCATGTCAACCCTACAAGAATACTCAACAATTTCGGGATACCAACTAAATGCCACAAAATCAGACCTCATGCCGCTAAACCTCAACAACACCACTACCTCCACCTTGAGAAGTAACTTCCCCTTCCATATCTGCCCAACGGTGATCACATACCTAGGTATCCAAATTACCAACGACACCAACACTCTCTACACAGTCAACTACCCCCTCCTGCATAAAGCATACCTGGACCTAGAACGCTGGAAACCGATGTCCATCTCCTGGCTCGGAAGAATAGCGTTGGTCAAAATGAACCTCCTACCCAAATTCCTCTATGCCTTCCAAGCGCTTCCATCCCCTGCAAAAAAAAACGATCTCAAACACTTGCAAACAGCCATAGACCGATACATCTGGAATGGAAAGAGACCCCGAGTCCGCAGATCCACACTATACGTACCCAAGCCCTCCGGAGGGCTAGGCCTCCCTAACCTCACACACTACCTACATGCAGCCCACCTAACACAAATACAACACTGGCACCTCCCCCCCCGCTCACAAACGATGGATAGACCTGGAACACCTCATCTTCGGCAGGGACCACCCCTCCCAATACATGTGGATCCCAAAACCACACAGACCACTACCACCACCCACATCACCAACGATCACCCACTCCCTAGATCTCTGGGATCGCCTCAGCGATAAGTTTGACCTCTCCACGGGCCTATCGCCCCTCACACCGATTCTCTGCAACAAAATGTTCCCACCAGGCCTCACGACACTATGCCCACTTCGAAGACAGAGACATAGTCAGACTAGGACATCTCTATCCCAACGGCAAGCTCCTACAATACTTGGAAATCCCCAACCCCGAATCCCTAACCACCTACGACTACTTCCAAAACCTCCAACTCCGAAGCTTTGCAGCAATGGACACGGTACACATGGCAGCAACCTCGACCCTGACTGAGTTCGAGAGGGATACCCTCGGCTCACCAGCCAGAAAGAGCCAAATATCAAACCTATACATAACATTAACCACACACCACACTCAGGTAGCTCTTCCTTACATAGCAGCATGGGAAAATGACCTGGGGCCCCCTGAAGATCCCACCGAATGGGCAGACATATGGGCATCCATCAAATCCATCTCAATCTGTGTCACCCACAAAGAGCAAGCCAAAATGCTCTTCAGGTGGTACCTAACCCCCCTCTGCCTAAAAGCAATAAACCGAATACCCAATAACCTCTGCTGGAAACTGTGTGGCGAAACCGGCACTTTCCTCCACTGCTGGTGGACATGCCCCAAACTCACTCCTCTATGGAAAACAATTACAACACTCTTAACTAGAATACTTAACAAACCAGTACCCCCGAACCCCTGGGCTCTCCTACTCTCTAAACCCATTGACACCTTCACCCGCAATGAAAACAAACTCATTACTATAATAGCACTGGCCACACGCAGAGCAATAGCTGAAACTTTGTCCACACCACACATACCCACTCAACTCCAAATAAACACTAAAATAACTGACAACATAGCCATGGATAAGCTGACAGCGCAAGTTCATGACACCCCAATATCATTTCATAAAGTATGGGACCCATGGCTGGAAGGACACAACGCACTCCCATGGTGATACACGGCTACCACACAACCCACACCGCCAACATCAACCCACAACAAAAGACAAAAATGTCGATCATCTATCCAACCCCTAACCCAATCCACCTACTCGGAGTCCCGGGGGTAACCAGGAGGGCAGCACCCCACCACCTGCCCCTTTGAACACCCCCCCTTCTCTCTTCCCCTGCCCCCTACAAACCCACCTCCCCTACTCCACCATCCCTCTGACTAATGACTTGACCCACGAGCCAGGCACTGCTGATCCAACGCTACATAACAAACCATCCTACAGCAGCGACCTACACAGACGCCATCCCGCACCTAAAAACGACCACCTACAACAACCCCGGCGAAACAGATATACAAGCTATATACTATCCTCCGACGGAGCTAACAAACCGGACCAACACACAACACAACGTTCTGCATCCCAACTACAACCTCCTCATTGAAGCACGAATACAAATAACACAAACAGAGGAGTTGACTATAAGATCCCCGACAAACAGCGGTCCACGATAGACGGGATAGTCATCGACACCCCGGCCCAAAGAGCCAGACCTGAATGCAAACAACCCAATGTCGTACCCAATTGTTATTTCCCAAATAACCACCCTGTTCTTTTCTTCTTTCTGTACAAACGTTCATATGTGCATATGAAACATGAAAATGAAAATAAAGAATCTTTAAAAAAAAAACATATTTTTTTGCCTGTACATGGTTAAATAGGCCAATCAAAAAAGTGAGAAAACTATTTCAATGTAAGAATTGACGTAGACCATGTTTAGACGATTCTACATTCTAAAACTGGAATTGTGTTAGGGGATTTAGGGTTCAGTTACAATAAAGCATTGAGGTCTGTCAGAAGAAGCATTGGAACTAGTGTTAAGCTAAATAAATTTAAGTTATTTCTAGAATTAAAGGGTACCTTTACACAAGTTCAGTTAGAGTATAACTTATGTGTGTTTATTTGTTTAATTGCTAATTTTTGTCATTCATTTTATGTTACTTACATGTACTTTATTTGATTCAAATGATCAACAAGAAATCATTGTTAAAAGCTTGCTGACATTGCAACTTACAAATTCAAGGTTTTTGAGGTCTTAGTACTGCACACTCACAAAAATAATTTTGACATTTTTTCAGACGATTGATTAATTATTAGAAAATTGTTTTTTGTGGCTTATCAATTACTTTTTGGAGTTAGTCTCCACTTCAGAAGGATAAAGATAGTTTGTAATTTATGTTCAGGAAAGATATATACATTGTTAGGATTGCCATCATGGGGCTACAGCCAATGTGGGGGCATCCCAGGGGACCCATCAGGTCTAGGCCCTACATTCCCAATGTACATATATATTTAGCGAGTATGCTGGTTTTTATACTAAAGAGGGGACCCAGGAGACTTCAAGTTCCACCTCGTGAGCCGAGGCTGTCAGAGAATACTGGGCCAAAGAGAGAGGGAGAGGACCTGCCGACATCTGGAGGTGTAATATGGCATCTCTTGGGCCCCTTCTTCACTATAAAAGCAAGTTGCTATGACACAGGACCACCAGAAAATCAAAGAAAAAAAAAAGGTTTTGCCCACAAAACACAGCCTCTATTTACACACACACACACACACACACTACATCCAGTAGTACACACAATGCATCCACTCTTTACACACATATACTGCATCCACTACACAGACACTGCATCCACTGTACACACACTCTGCATCCAATATACACACACACACGCTGTACCCACTAAACACACATTCTGCATCCACTACACACTCACTGCATTCAGTAAACACATTGCATTCACTACACACACACTCTGCATCCAATATACACACACACACGCTGTATCCACTAAACACACATTCTGCGTTCACTACACACTCACTGCATCCAGTAAACACATTGCATTCACTGCACACAAATACTGCATCAACTACACACTGCATCCACTCTACACACACAGCATTCACACAGCATTCATTACACACTGTCATGGTAGTGTACCCCAACACACAAGATTTAGTCCAACGAGAGACAAGATAAAAAGATACGTCTTACCGGGCCTTAGAATGGCCTGACTCAACGTAGTACAGAGAAATGACAGAGTCAGGAACGAGCCGAGGTC